CTGGTTCAACTACTGGATCCCCTGTCGTATTTATGCGGCCACAGGGGATCCAGTAGTTGAACCAGTCTTAGTCGGAAAGCACGGGAGATCACTTCGCCCACTGCCTCATCGCCTTTGAAAATGTCCACCGCAGTTGTGGACGAAACGTCAGGAAGAAATTCCGATAGACCACGGCTTCAAAGCCCGGAAAACATTCCTAAATGTAATTTAACCGGCCGTGAAAGCCTTCAGAGTCTATATAGTTTTCACTTTGTTGAGGAGAAATCGCAATTTGCGCTCATCACGTCGACATAGCAATTTGAGTCACTTAGTTAGTTGTAAATAGACTTGCACTGATTAATTATTATAAGGTCAATATATTCAGTTTAAATCTGCAGTAGTAGCCGAATTTAAATTTTTCTAGTATTTGCGCCCCTAATGAATATCATCTATGCAGAAGGAGGAACAAATTCTCGACCAAAAGTGATTCAATGCGCAAATAAACGTAGCGAAATCTGCAATTTTTCCCGCAAGCACGTGTTACAATAACATTTCGAATCTTTTTCTACCGATTGCATTCTTTTTCCTCTTAGAAAGCTTTGATGTGGCTTTTGAAATTCAATTTGAACTAGAAAGATGGCGCTAGCAATCTCCTCCTGGTGAAACCAGCGAAGTCGGAACTCGCAGCAATTTTCAACTCGTGCCATAATGGCAAGTTTATATGACTGCTAACAGAAACTCGCTCATCGCTTTGCGTAGAAAAACAAATAAATTAATTTTTTTACTTAAATTCGACCCCAATCAGGGCTGATTTGAAAAACTTTTTTGAATTTAACACAGATTGGATAAAGCCTCGTGAGCTGGCACTAAATAATAAATATCTAGGGGGCAATATGGGCCGGAGTGTCTTGGTTTTCCTTCACTCTGAGAGGCAAAAATCGTTCGTTTGAGGTGGTAGCTGTATCGAATAAGGGACAGACCAGGAATTAATTAATTTTTGTGCTCTGATTGGATTTGCTCAACAAATGTCGATTTCGAGGCCTAGCGAAGAAAATTCACAGCACTTTAATTCAGAAAAGTTGAACCAAGTTAATTAATCCTTTCTTCTGATCCCTAACTCTTTCCTTGCAATTCATAATGTTGCTGAAAATAGTCTGGAAATGAACTGAAAAGCTGTTTCACATCAAAGAGCTATAGAAATGTAATAAATAGCATAGATTGAGACGCACGTGTGGCTGTTACTACTCATAAATAATCGTAGTAAGGCAATAGCAAATAAATAGTAAAATTTGGTGATTTTGGGCTTAATAAATAATAGCGCTTACAACTATAATATAAGCAGGAAAAAAGTCGATTTTTGTAGCCAACAAAAAAAGGTTTTTCTGTTGAGATTAACAATGCTACCTCAAAATTTCGTTTAAAACTGTATTTTTTTCTAGCAAAGTGTCCACACGTGTCGAAAGGCTCACCTGCCTGCTGAACATGTTTATGGGCTAACCCATTATTGGCGAAAACGAATTTTTAACTGGTTTAACTATGCCAATAATTGCCACGTGCCTGAAGTGGCAACAAAAAACAGTTAACGCAAATTCCTAAAACATTTCACTTGGTTAACGCACCATTGCTTAAATGTCTCAATCTCCAAAGCGTGCTGTTAATTAAATGTTGTCCAATAAGCTGATTAAATGCAGATTTTTATTCATCCGACTCCAGTTTTATTTCGCAAAAATGCGTCCTTAAGATAAAATTGCTTTTCAACGCTTAAAATATCACTAACCCTACTCTCTTTCGACAAAGGTCACTGATCCACCCTTTATTTTATTTCATATATAAAAAGAACTTGACTCCTATTCAAACATGCCAGCACTTATTATTGCCTTGAGATATGGGTGATTCTAAATCGAATTTCATCCTTTTCAGGCTTGAAATCGTTACAAATTTTCAACTAACATACGATTAGAGTTTATGTCGTTTTTGTTCGATTTATGTCAACATAAAATTACATTTAAACTATCACCGTATTGCTATGGCATCGGAACCAGCCGAATATAAGTTTTGTTTATTTAGGATCTTTAAGAAATAGACCCGCTTTGCAGGAAACTAAATTGAGTTCATCCCCTGTCCCCAATCCAGTCTGCTTGGGATAACTCAAGATTTGTATATAGATTTATTATACGTAATAATACCGTGTTTGAGTATTTAAATGGCATACTGTGCCTCAGCTTTATTTTTTTTTTAAGATCTGCATGCCCTTGACCACAACTAAAATCGTAATTCAATGCCGAGGAAGAAAAATAACCAAAATTTCGATGCAAAACACGTTCCAATGACATTTTTTACTTTGAGGGCTTTGCCGAGCTTTCCTTTAAAAAGGTTTTTCCAACTTAACGCTTTTAAATATTTTCCGCAGTAGCAAATAATAAAGGGCAAATTAATATCTCAAATCCAGAAAATTCTGCGTCTTCTTCTGTGAGAGCACAATCAGTTAAATATAATTGGATAGAAATAAGTCAAAGTCCATGTGACACAGGTGATATTTCGGTGGCTTTACGTGTGGAAATTGTCCCCAAATCTACAGTCGGTAATATTAAAACAGAATAGGGGGTTTAAATAGTGCACTATATATCATCTTTCGCTATTCAAATTACTTCTATCCTGAAAGGAATTATCCCGGTCCTATTGACAAACGGGGGTCCTTAAACTACCCTAACACAATACGATACGTTTGCATTAATTTAAATTAGATAATCGATGAAACCATTAGGTCTGAACGCCCTATTTCGCCAAGAGAAACCGATTTTCTCAAGGAGCTTTCCGTTTGACAAATGCATATGCATGCATTTTGCGAAGTAGCTCAAATTTGTTAACACCTTAGTAGATATAATAAGACTGGGTTTTTTAAAGGCCTTCGGACACCCAGGCCAGAATAATTGGGTGCTGCCAAATACTATTGTAAATCATTTGTGTCCTTAAACCACTTTCTATTTGTTCCTTGTTATCTTTTCTCCCTGGTTCTCTCCACTGGGGCAACTAAGTTTATTTCAAACGAACATTCCTGCATTATTTAATTTGCAGAAAATTTCAACATGCAAATCCGTAAAATAAAATTTATAATAGCACGTAGTCGGTCTATTGAATGCATTTGAGGGCACGAGTCATTCTTTGTCGCAGTTTTGGATTAAACGCCGACAAAACGATTATATGAATTGCATAAGCATTGTAGGGTCAGTTAGAATACAATATAATTAGCACATCATCAATGTGACTGTGAAGCAAAAGTGAATGCCGTTAAGCTTATACCATAATGTGGAAATGCCTCTATATTTATGTGTAGTTCTGATAAATTTGATTTTTCATCGCTCTGGATATTAACATTTCAGGCTTCCCTAAAAAAATTCTAGAAATAAAAGTTTATCTGAAAAATATTTTACTTTCTTAAGTATTAGCGCAGCGACGGCAATCTATCACCCATCAACCGTTTAGTTCCCGAAGCTCGTGATATACTCTAAGTTATTGTAAATATTCAGATCGTTTAAATAAATGACTATAAAACCAAGATTGCTCGTATGTGCAATGAATAGTGCTCGAATTGAATCGAAAATCTGATGATTAAAAAACTTCGTTTGTAGGAAACTCTCAAGACAAGCTGTTTAGGCAAATTTCTCATACAGCGATTTACTTTCTGAATTCCTAGTCCTGTCCTGAACAAAAAAAAATAGATTAGGGAGAACTTTAATACCTTAACGAATTAAACCGAGTTATAATGTCAATAAAAACACTTCAACGTGGATCAATAGCTTTTAATTTTCCAGTTATCCACCAGATATTAAAGCTCAGTAATTAGTTACATAAGCGACAGATCTTTAGAAATTCGAGTTATCCCTTCAAGCCGCATAACTTATACTGACGGGTTAAGACAAGGAATTTTAATAAAATGGTTAATTTACTTATAGTAAAAAATACGTTTACTTTACTTCATGGCCAGCATGACTTTTCTTTTGTACTTGTTGACCAATCGCATTTTTCAAGAGACGTAGACGAATTCATGGAATCTTGTAAAATATTCTCTTATCATAAAAACGCTTTAGGCCGGGGAGATGGATTGTCTGAAGCAACATGCAAAGTATGACTATTAATCTGCTTTGAAAAATGTCGTCGTGTGTTATCATTTCGGCCTTCAAATTAGCATGACCACAATTTTGTTTACTTCTTGCGCTAATATTTTCCATGTTTGAGTAAAATGTTATACAGGATTGTTTGAGTGTCCCGCATAAAATGTATGTTTTCTACTAGCAATTTTTAAGACTGAAACCAGCACCATAAATGAAATACAGGGCTATCCATTTTATGCTTGGGAAAGTAAAGTAAATAAAACACACAAAATATTCAGATGGAGACAAAAATTTTAATTGAATATAAAGATTAAACCTTGTCATTATACGTGAAAAACAATATCATTTAAATGTCCTCCACGGGACCTCCTACAGACCTCGAGTCTTCCTCCACACTTTGAGCAACAGCAGCGATATTTTCAGCTGAACGAATGTTGAATGACCAGATTTTTTGAAAAGAAAGTTGGGAAAGCTGGGGATGCAGGGGTTGTAAATAGGAAATAAACAATAATTTGAATGAATAGAGTTTTTTAAAGAACATAAATTTTACCCAGAACATTTGATTAGCCCCGTATAACAGGTCCCTCTCCGAGTAGGTGTGTTCACTATCACTCAAATATCGCGTTTTGTTGAATTGAAAGACACCCTTTAACGTCAATGGAGCCCTAATTAATGCCTAGGCATCCAAATTAGCTTCGAGGGTTTCAGCTGGCTACTTTCTTTCGTTAGCAGTTAAATTAAACACGAATAGGTGATAATAAAATTATTTTTTACAAACTTCATTTTGGGTATTTTGCCTCAAAAATTTTTGTCTTTAAAAAAGACAGAATTTGCTCACGTCTTTTATTACAGATTGATAAATAGTGCTCCTATTTCGCAATAAGAACGAATTATTTCACCTAGAGGGTATCCTGCGACACACTTAGGCTCAAGCTGAGAAAATGAATGAAGAGAAAATTCCAATTAGTAGAGAAATTAATTTGAATAATTACCTTATTTATTTATTAAATTAATACTTTTATTAAATTAATTTCTCTACTAATTGGAATTTTCTCTTACAGCTTGAGCCTAAGTGTGTCGCAGGATACCCTCTAGGTGAAATAATTCGTTCTTATTGCGAAATAGGAGCACTATTTATCAATCTGTAATAAAAGAGGTGAGGAAATTCTGTCTTTTTTAAAGACAAAAATTTTTGAGGCGAAATACCCAAAAAGAAGTTTGTAAAAAATGAATCGGCCTCAACAATATAGAACTTATCTACAACTTAAATAAAATTATTATTACGATATAATGACTTTGGATGGTGCTTTCAATTTTTTCGTACTCAATCAAGCCGGCTTTCTGTACGTTTAAACGAAAAATGTAGGTTTACCAACAGCAATGCAAATATTATATATGTTGTACAGTATGTTTAGTTTTTTTTCTTGTTATGCACATTTGCCGTTGTACCCTAAGGTCCATAGTTCGGTAGTAAATATTAGCATTAAATACTAACTTTCGTTGTAACCAAGTCGAAACGCTTCCACAATGTTTGTCTAAGACTGTTTTATGATGTCCTGCTGCAACGGCGGCAGTATTTTATGCAACTTAGAAATTTCTCTTGGATTGATGCCGCTCTTTTAGATGAGTGGTGGTAAATTATTATCAGTCAGCGTGAGACGAATTTAAGTATTCGCTTTGAAGTTCAATTTTTTAAAATATTACGCAATGTGCCAATTCCGTGTTCGTACGTGTAAATATGATTAAATTGCTATGCTCCAAAAGATGTAGATCTCTAATATGGGAATTCGCCTCAATACTTCCAATCAACTAGAATAAAATCCCGCAGGAAAAGTTTTCCGTCGACGTCAGTTTTTCTTTGAATATTGAAAGTTCCCCTTGTCAGCTTAAAAGTAATAATTTCCGAATCGGAATGAATTTACAACCGCTTTTCCCTCAAAAGTTCCACTAAGTCTATGTAACTTAAATGAGTTAATTAATTGATTTATTTTTGGAAGCTGATGTATTCCAAATCAACAATTTCCCCTATTAAATTTTCAATAGATTGATATCGTTTTCAATTTCCCAATTCTCAATTCCTTTTTCGCTACCCCTATTGTGATCTTACTTAGAGTCGATAAAAAGGGGGACTGACAATGTATTTTTCAATCACTTTTTCATGCTGTACATTTGTTTGCGAATTTACATTCGCGCAGTTAGCTTTAATTTCCTCATTCATTCGACGTGAAACTTTTAATTCCACTTTTCATACACGACAACATTATTCCATTTCTCAAAATTAACTAACTAAGCTTCATCAACGCAAAACAAGTGTTATTGTTGGAAAAGTGATACAGAAGGACCCAGGAAACGTATTTTGTCTATTAATTCTCGAAGAACAAAAGCGAGTTTACAGCAACATACATTACGGAAGAGGGATTGGCAAGATGATGTGGTATTTTAGCTGTCGGTCTAGTGAATTTGGTCGGATTTATGAGATGAGCCTGTTAGAAAAATCTTGAAACCACGTCAAATGCCCACAATAAAAAGTGCAAATTATGCGGGTATATTTTGGGAGGCAAATTTTGCGTCTCAGTCCGGCTATATGAAAATGTCCTAAAATTTTCTATGGGTTTTATTCGAGTACTAGTTGCAGGAATGCTAAATTCTAATGCATTTATAGTGGACACACTTCAAGTTAGTGGAAAGTATATAAAATAAGCGAACGCAGGATTAAATCAGGTTCAGACGCAGAAGCTAATAGTCCCTGATGGAAAGCAATTGCGCTTAGATATAAATCCCGAATTGAGCTGATGAAAGTTTAAATGTTGAAGGCGGCGTCTGGAATTACCGGGCATCCATGGTAAATTTTGTATGATGATGGTTCGAAATTTCGGCAACACTGCAAAGCTAGGGTTTTGTGCGCCCGGCCGAAACCAGCTGGGATCCGGCGGCCGGCGCGTCGAGAACGCTCGATGCAGCGACCTCGCAGGATTTGATTCCTGCTTGGCTTTTCTACCTGGTTGAGTTCAACTCATCCTAAAACCACCAGAAATAGCCACAGAAAGACCACCGAGTCTCAGCGGCACCCGCAGTCCCAACCACTCATCACCAAAACTTTTACAAATAATTGTTCCAATCCGAAATATGCTCCAAATATCCCCTAAATATGACCCAAATATTCGACAGTTTTTCACACGTTCTCCCGAATTTGTTCATCTGTTCGAGCAAAAGCAAATTAATGCAATCCCAACAAAAATTCATAATTCCCTACTCCTAATGAACAGTGTGTCATATCCTAATCGAGGATAGTTGAGCAGATTAGGCTCACAGTAGGACACTTTGAGCGTCATTTTCACTCATTCCAAACGAAACGCAAAGCTAATCAGTAGAAACCCGAAAAAAATTGCAATTAAATTCCTCAAAAATAACGTGCGTGTCATATCCATGCCAGTTATGTCACGCGGATTGCACTCTAAAAGCAGAAGCTCTAGCAGTAGAATTAATGACATTGTATAATGAAAATTATTATATTCAAGGAAAAATTCAATTTTAAACTTTGACACTGTTACGGAACCAATTATCTTCCTGACGTTTCGCCAACACGACCAGCTAACACCTTCAGAGACGTTTGCGGCAAAAGTTTTGATAAATATTTTACCTGCCTCACATTTAATGAAATTGCTTGCTTCTGCGGGTCCCTAGGGCATAAAAAAGTTTCGAAAAAAGCAGAGTTGGATATATCGACAATAGATGAAGGGCCAATCAAAATAATATTGTTGAGAGCCAAAGATTTCTGAAAAGCAAATGCTTTCGGCAAAAAACGCTTAATATCGTTCTCATCTGTTCGTAAACCGCTTAGATATTTTGCCAGTCTAAAAAGTATTCTCCAGGGGCTAAAGAGCAAAATTAATACCCTAAGCACATTTTACGCTTTGAAAATCATACATCATGTTATCTGTAAGTTTAATATACGACCTATTTATAAATACCGTTTACCCTAATGACAAAATCGATAAGGCATTCAAACTCTGATCTTATTTTTTCCAGTTTGGCGTAAATAGGAGTTTAGCCTAAGCGTTTATACATCTATTAAGCTTAGTTGAACCATTTACAGTCAATTTGGACTAGTACATTAATAAAATTGTTATACGCTTGTAAATGGACTGACCTTTCTAAACACTACCAGGATCAGTTATAGTATATTGGCGAATCCACAACTACAATTTGAAATTTTATTTTTCTGACGTCAAAACGCTTTTTCAGTTGAAATAGCGAGTATTAACAATGTAAAAATCATTGATGGAAAAAATCCTAAGGACTTCCGCTCCGATTTAGGATTTAAAACCCCTGGGAATGTTTTCAATGACGAAGCTTATCAGATAAATACGATCTGGCAGTACTTCAACAGCAGCCAGAATTTAATAAAATATATTATCTGAAATCATAGCCCAGAAAGTCTCGCATACCATAATAAAATATCGCTTCACGGGGATTTGAAATTCACTGGCGAAATATGTCCAAATACGCTAGCGAAACATTTAAAATTCTGGTGTGTGTTGAACGTAACCGGATATTTCACCAAAAGATCTCTTAAATTGCATCGCTTTCTTCACCGGACTGTTCAGGAGAAATCCTTGTTCAAGAAAAAGTACATATACCTTCATAAAATTGTTTCAAGAGCCTTAAATACTCCCATTTTTAATTCGACGAATCAACAGTTTTCTGGGGAATGGAAAAAGTTGTTTCCAATACGCAAAAGTTTCACTTTTTTATAAGCTTTCCAGAGTTTAGTCGAATGGTGCACGAAGAAGGGCGAACAGCTGTATCATATTCTAAAGCATTCCAGGGTATTCATTTAAAGAGGTTTAAAGAGTAAAATGATTTTACTAATTAGAAAAGAAAAGAACAGCCCTTTTGTCGAAGGGATGAAACCTTATAGTCAAGGGCTAGGGAGCTTTAGACTCGATAAGAAATTAAAGTTTAATCGACTTCGTAAGTTCATTGACAGCTTATAATATGAAAGCGAAACACTAAAGAGAATTTACAGTAATTGAACACATTCCACGTCGATTTGCGATTTAAACGGATTTCCCCAAGTTTGGATTTGGTATTTTAGTTTGGCGCTGATGCCTCTTCAATAGATTCAGCGCGTCAAAATATGTATAATAACGGATAGTCGTATTTTCCATATTTCTGAGTTGATTTCGCAAAAATCCTTCTGTGCGTTAGAGCATTACGAGTGACGTGACAACATTGGAATTTAATTTCTTGCGCAAGCTTTCCAAGCATTTCTGAAGCACGGATTCTGACGTGCACATGTGCTTTTGTTGCGGTGCTGAGTGCACGTTGTTTACTCTGATCCAAGCTCAAGAACTACGAGCGCAGGTAAGCGATCGTAAGCATCTCATCAAACATTTCGTTTTTTTTTTGGTCAAATTAATAAAATTATTTTTTTATTAAATAGTGATGATCTTCAAAAATTATTTATACGAAAAAACAATTTTGTTAATGCCAATCAAGATTACTAAATCTGTGTGTCAAGTTTAACTATTTTATTATAGCATTCACTTAATATTAATTGTGTAAACGTTCGCAAACAATGCATTCAGCTGAATACACGTATGGTATTTTTAGATGTGAAATCTCTGTTGATATTTGGTGGCAAAATTATCAATATTTTTTCGTTCAATTTGAAACCGTTAGAAACTTTGTGGAAAAATTTGGTCTATGAATTGTTGCGGACGACCGCTGTTAGTACCTAACAAATGGCCCAGCCCCATAATGGGCTAGTTCAGCCTTGCTCTATCAAATAAATTAGCTAGAATCTTTAATCACTTCACTTCAGCAAGGTCCTAAATATTTTTTCCAGTTTCTTCATGTCATGGCACTTTATTCGACTTGCCTGGTACAAATTATTATTAAATTTCTAATTATTGCTCTGTCACCCGAAGTTAATAAGTTGGCGCCAATTTTTCAAAAAGGCTCAAAAGATTTGAAACCTTTTACTATATAATTCAACAATAGTTTTCTAAATTTTTTAATTAATAGACGTGGCCATTCGCTTTATATTGCAAGCGGCATCTAGCTATCCGACTTGAAATTTTCCACAATATGCAGCCAATTTTCAATTTGAGAATGAAGAATTTAAATACGCTTCTGGGGTGATTGCTCCCGAAATTTGAAACATTTAAAAAAATATGTTTTGATCGATAAATTCAAGGTTCAACTTTCCGATTTATTCCAAAAATGTGTGATTATTAATTTGAACTTTAACTAACATTATAACGTATTGAATTGTGTGAGAACGCCACCCAAAACACTGGAATATGGATGAAGAAAAAATTATTTCCCGATATTCGATCAAAACTACTGATCACATATATCCGCCGAAAATTATTTTTCTTGTTTACAATCGTTTGCATGTAGTACTTTTTCATCAGAAATGTCTTACTTTCCGTAGCCGTATAATATTTACTTGTCAAAAAAAATGGGAAAATGCGAAATACAATAAAGGATATTTGCTTGGCGTTTTAAGAAAATATTCATTTTTATTTGTTTCGATGTTTACAAAAAATGCTTTATTGGCTATGTGAAGGATTCAATTTTTTACCCTCGTGGCTTAATAATTGAGAGCATAATGAGAACAGATTTCTCTAATAAAAAATGTGCAAATAATAAATCAGAACTAGCCGAAATTTGTTGCATTTCTTCCACAAATAAAATGCATCCTCTCGCAATATCAAAATCAAACGCAAGCGAATTAAACGTATTCTTTTAAGAGTAAACCCGAAAAACGTAATTTGACACTCAGCTTTTCAGAATATATAAATATTTAATTTGGTTATAAATGTAGTATTTCATTTTAACACTTTGCTGTCCGCGTTTCTAGAAAACCAAACACGCTATAAATTTGGATTACATTTTTTAAATCTTTCAAGATTTCGTTAGTTCTGGCCACTGGAACCAACAAAACGATTTGAAAAACTACACTTCGGCTTTCGAGGCCACTTTTAAGTTTTTTGGTGTTAGTGGTAGTGGTAGTTTGTTGAGAGCTTGCATCCGTACAGTGTAAGCTCTCAAGCAAACCATCTCTGAAGATGCAAGACACTCGTGCTTGCGAAACGTCAGCAAGAAATTCCCTTCTACGATGGCCTAAAAGGTCGAAAAACTTACAAGTTTCGATATGAAAAACTGTTTATGTTACAAAATAGAAAAATGACTTGAGCAATTCCTGGAAATCTTTTATTTCGTTATAGCAACTTCTTACGGAAAGTGACTAACGCTTCGACGAAAACCTTAATTTCGCTCCTTGAAGTTAATAGTCCTTTTTCAGAAAAATGATTGCTAACGTTTTATTGGGAAACCCCGTGATTCAATTCGTCACGGAAACTTGCTGAATTTCTGCGAAATCTTTATCGTGCCGTTACACGCAAGCTTTTTGACCAAGCAGTATTTATTTACAAATTAAACACAGTTTTGTTTTTAAATCTCATCCTGACTGTTCAGACAGGCCAACACGCCTTAATTTTAATTTAATTAGATCCCAGATCACGTTTGCTAGTTAATATAATCTCAATTACCGTCAGTACATTGTCAAAACTGGCCTTTTTCCATTCCTTGGAATAATTTATTTTTTGTGCCTCATAAGCTTAATGACTTAAACAGTAACAACTGATAACATTTTGGACTGCCATGATTCAACTAGAACCAAACAATGGAACCTTATCAACATCTGCAAAATGCGTATTAAAAAAAATCAGCAAGGAAAGAGAAAACAAGATTAAATGTCTAATCTGAAACACATTTAGGGTAATTAATGTTCTGAATGAATCCACAGTAAAGCGATTTGACTGTAAAAGCTAATTGAGTCAGTCTCGGCTAAAAAGGATTAAATAAAAAGCTATCGCCTTTTTAAATAATCTTCGATTGCGGCCGTTTTAATTAAGCGTCTAAGCAACCTGTTGCCATAAACCTTTGATGAATGTGATTTTTATTATGTTTACTGGAAAATGAAATCATTTTAAATCACGGTAATGTTTCAGTTCAGAACAATATTAATATTATCGGGCAATTCGGTCTTCGGAATAGGATTGCATCCACAGAATAATGCTACGAACGATGCAAAATTGTAAAATTGTATTTAGCATGATATGTATTGCCAATTAAGTGAATTCCTCGATATATTGAAATTTCTACGTTGGCCCTCATGTTGATGTTTACGTAATAAATTAGGCCCTATTGACTGTGATTATTATTATTACTATATTATACTTGTAAATGTCAACAGAACCTCCTAAAACAACGCAGTAAATTGCAATTGCTTGGACGGGAATTGAAAAACCCGTGAAAACGAAGTTGAAGAAAAAGAGCGTCACACAAAAATTGAACCAAGTTCTGTCTGGATTCACTTACTAAATATATACTGTTACTTTATCACACTTTTTCCAAGTATGTCTAGTTAAGAGTTCTTAAACATACCTCTGTTTCGGGCAGATTCAAAGCTGTGCTGTTTCGATATGATGGAAAGCAAAATGCTCGATCGGCACAGAAACAGTTTTAGTCAAGTCGAAGGACCCCATGGTTACCAAAGGTGAGTTTTTGAGTAGCCAAAATATGTTTATTGTTTGTCCTAATGTATATAATCCTAACGGAAAATATTCGACTCGCTTCCACTTAATTAAAGTATTTAGGATAGCGAATAAGGTGAAAGCAAATTGAATTCACTTGAGCAGAAATTAGATAAATGAAAATCCCAGTATTGAGCAGAAACCACTACGGGCCTGTTGATTATTTTCCAGGAAACGGAAAGAAATTTAAAAAAATGTTAGACTTTGTACCAATTATTTTACAGTCTTAGGTGTTAGATGTCGAGCGGAAATCAATCATGAATTGTTATGGCTTGACGATACAATATTAAAATATCTCTATCGTTGCTCAAAGCTCAGTTGTGGTGGTACAATTACAATACGATTGTTGGCATTTTCACATACCCGGAAAATTGATTTGTCTGCTTTTCCAGGCCAACATTATATTTGCTGCTTTTATCCCAACTGCTTCAAATCGTACAAGATTTGAACCCTTCATACGCTGTAAATAAATTGATTTTTACAGCAAAATATTTCAAGCAATCACACTGAGCTATGAGTGGAGGAATTCGAAACATTTTTGCATAATTTCAGCTAATATTGTGATATAATACAAAATTGACACAGGTTATTACACTTTCATATCAGAAATTGAGAGCTCGCTGTCTATAAGTATTGATTTGAAGTTTAAATAGAGCGAGAATCCATTTAATATATGCATAATTTTGTAGTCGGGTTTGCATTGACTGGTATATTTTAATTGGGAACTTTACGCTTTTAAATGTTCAGATAATTATACTATCAGTGTTGAATGTCATTCAAACACATTTATTTCCTGCATTTCCAACCGTCTGGGGTACAAAAAAGCAAAAAAAGACCGTGCCTCTTCTCACACCTTAAAAAGTGTGATAGAGGTCTTAAGTCTTCTCTCCACTTTATAACCGAAATGAATTATAGCCTATTAAAAGAAAATCCATTTAAGAAGTGGCAGTATAAACCACGATTTTGCTTCAAGCGCCTGCCTATGAAACAACATATATTATACATTTCAATAAAACTGAAACCGACCGATTAATATCCAGCTCTGATGGCTCTTTGATTTATTCCTTTTAACATATCACCTTATATATAGGGCTCCTAAAAGTGAACTATAAATTCGTTCCACTGCTAACGTCTGAAGTAATATGAGACAAGTTCGTTAAAATGATCAGTCAGTATTCTAAAATTATGGTTCGGTTTATTGCCAGGCTCCCTTTAAATCAAATTGATGATATTTCAGTGGTATAGGAGTAGGAGGTGGTAAATTCATGCAAATTAGGGCACGATGCCTATTAAACTGTTGCAGCAAGATGTTGCAACCTGGTGTTTTTTTACAGGTGGAATGTAAGCACTGCAAGCAACGAAAATACTCTGATTGATCTTGTCAACACCGATACTGAAATTGTGAACAATTCTCTTAAATTAGCTCCAGTCAATTCGAGTAATATATATGCACGTCGTCATTCTGCTCACGCTTGTACGGCAACTGAAGATCGCCAGTTAACAGTTGACGTAAGTAGTAGGTACCTATTTTATAAATGTATTATGTTCTTCAATAATTTCGGTTTCGTTTTTTCCCCTGATTCCTTATTAACAAATTTTCAAGTCAAAAATTCAGTTGAAATTAAAAATACTAAGCTTGCTAAAGTGTGTATGCAATCTTTGTGAGGCCAATATCAAAACCTCCACCCCAGTTAAGACTAGTCGCATTAGCGTTGCATAGGAATAAAGCTCTGATATCGTCGGCTTAAAATTTATCGCTTTGCCGTGTGTCTGTGTGAAAAGGTGCTCACACTTCAAAATAATCAATACGAAAATGATGGCAGTTAAGTTAAACATGACTCGGCCTGTTGGCATTGGCCATTCAAAATTTATTCCTGTAGTGATAGTAGAATATTTTTACGTTGCCTCAAGAAACGTGCATTCACTATACCAAAGCGGAGAAGTTTACGCTTTGAATTCGAGAACTTGCCGCGTTGGGGCAACTCACAGCAATTGTCTGCGATAAAAAATTTACCCCATCTGAAACTTTTTTTCAAACTTTTTAATTTCTTTCTAAAGTTCCAAAGAGTTTGTGTGAACTTGTGTGAATCATATTTACGGTTCCATTAAACGCACTTATTCTGAAACGCCCCCTTTCACCAACCACACGGCAAATTTGTAGGCAATATATGCTGCCACAAGAGCGGCTTTCCAGATACGACAGATAAAAACGATATTTTGTAATGGAACAAAGAGTGACTATTTCCATAATGGAAAAACTTTGAAGATGGTGCTTCACTTTTCGAACAAGAAAAAGCTTTTTCAGGAAATCCAATCAAATCGCTAAATAAATGCAAACCAAAAATATATTTAAATAATGTCAATTCAAAATTAATTCGTGGATTTCAGTCATTTATTGTCTACTTATCAATTAAAATACGTTTCGGTGCATTTTTCCACCATCATCAGTTTTTATGTGTAGCGTTGCTGCTGCTTTAAGCCTTGGCATACATTTTCAAACAAGTGTGAAAACAAGTTCTGTTCACAGATATACGGAGTAGCAATGGGTTCTCCCATA